GTCCTGAAAAATGCGCTTTAAAACTCCACCAATGACGCCCGTTCAGTGGAAGCGGGTGGGGCTGCGCATTTTCCATGTCTTAGCTTATGAATTGGCATTTGAGGTTTGGGCCTACGGTGTACTTGAGGGGTCTACCACCTAATTCCTCCAAAATCTGATAAGGTCCAATTTGGCTGTCCACTGCCTTTAAGAAGCCTCGTACAATTCTGAATTCCTCTTCGTTTTGGCCCCGTTCTTCTCGCTCGTGACTGATTGACTCCTCATTCCAGAATATTGTACGATTCCTGTTATGATATGCTGTCGACTTTGATGTTGTGGACATTGACGGATCCTTCAGCCATAGTACAACAGTCAAAAGAAGAAAATGAACATAAATTTCGCTGGCCATACTATTCGAGCATAATAAAGAAACTAAAGGTTGGTTGCAGACCTTAGTCATTCCAGCTAATCGAAGTTTTCATGCTTCAGAAAGAAATCGCTGGTAAGAAAACACCTTCTGAGTTACGCAATCTGCTGTTGTTTTTGCCTCTACCGAAAAAGAAGATATCCGTCTGTGTTATGTCACCATGTGATACACCACGCACAGTTGTGGTGGAAGTAAGTTCTTCTTGTTTCTGCTTCCTTGCTCATTATGAAGGCAGTGTCCCGGCAGAATTTCGTTTGTCTAGTTTTTCACTTTTTGGAGCCTTCTCGTTATAAGAGCCCATATCTGGGCTTTCCAGCGCATAAAAATGGCGAATTAAGCTTTTATCAAATCTTTTTATGTCCGTTCAGTGGAAAATACGTGTAAGTGGGCGGAGTCCGAAATGAGGGAGGCGGGGCGCGGAAGACTTTGCGTATTTGCACTGAAGGCGCATTTGGAAAACTTCCAAAAAGGCTTATCTTCGCCATTTTCATGCGCGGAAAAGCCCAGGTATGGGTTTCTTATGGCGAGAAGGCCCCGAAAAAGTGGAAAATTGGAAACGAATTTCTGTCGGAACACTGCCTTGCAGTCGGTCGGACGGTCTCTATGACCAGAATCTCAGTTTGGTCCAACTTGCCCTATCTAGGGAGCAGCCTGCCGTTCTACCATATCACGGTCACCTCAGCCTTACCGCTATGGTTTGCGTGTTAGCGAAAAAATGAAGTTATCGAGCTATGACTTCATTGGACAGAACATCAAGGACGGCTGGAAGTGGAGCTGGTTCCAGGTAACTTCTTCAACTTTCTGGTTCACTCTACCAAACCCCTGATTACTTTTATAGGCTTCGAGGATCGATCGTCCCCCATATCCAATCCAAAGATGGGTTGCAAAACTTCTTATACACAAGCATCAGTTAGAATACCCTAGATCCAATGTAAGTTTTGATTCTTCAA